CTTGACTCACCCTTTTGTGGGCCAGGCAGGGGTAAAATTTAGAGAAGGAAGTGGTCATTCCAAGTTGACTCACCCTTTGGTGAGCCACCCGAGGGTAAAATTTAGAGGAGGAAGTGGCCGTTCCATCTTGACGACCCTTTTAACTAAGCAAACATCCGGGAAAGGGCCTGTGTGCGCACTTGAGTCTCCCCCATGGACTGTGTGCGCAGATGAGTCAAATCTGTGTGCGCAGATGAGGCGCAAGTGCTAACAAAATGTGTGTGCGCAGATGAGCCAAATCTGTGTGCGCAGATGAGGCGCTGCCCCGTCCTCCGCTGTCTCGGCAGACTGGACCTGTGCGACATCGATCGCACTCGGCGCCCATCACCGATCTTTCCTTCAACTTCTGCATGGTCTCTGTCTCCCAAGACTTGGCTCCACGAGGATGTTCACAGCTGACGCCGGAATCAATTTCTTCTCCGACCTCAAAGACCTGAGCCACGAAGACGAGATGTGACTCTTCTTCCTCACTTCTGGCTTCAATCAGCTTCTCTTTTCCTTCTTCCGTCAATGCGTTCAGGTTCTGCATGACGGACCACTTGGTACAAGGTGGAGCTAACCACACATGTAAAGGTCGTTCTTTTCTCATCAACTTCAGAAACTCCTTTCTCACATGACTCTTCTTGAAGTCCCATTCTGGCAAAGAAAAATTTGCCACACTCACATCTGCATATTTGTCCAAAAGCTTCTGCGACAACTGTCCTTCATCCACGTAGACCTCAAAGAAAGTCATGCACCTGTCGGTTTCCACTGCTTTCATTGCTTCTTCGATCATGGTGTCATCCTCAATCTCGAACTCCACGAGAGGCAGATCTCCGGTTGCCTCCGGTTCTGTGGAAGGTTCAATGTACCATGTATCATCTTGTATGGGCCACTGCACAATCACATCTTCTGGAATGGCCAGCACTTCTTCAACTCCCATTGCTTCTGAGGAAAGCTTCAGGAGGTTCACGATGTAGTGCCCCTTTTGACCTCTCTCCGGTTGGAACCAATCTGAATCTTTGATCTTCAGACTGCCTTTTGCATAGTCCTGTTGCACCTTCCACTCTTCCAGCGTCGGTCTTGCCAGAAGGAAAGGAGTCTTACCTGGAACCACCGATGCTGTCACGCTCAGGTCTTGTCCACGTACCTGTACCGGGAAGGTGATGTCATAGCTTGAACGAAGCGTCTCACCTCCTCCGAACTTGAAATCTCTTGAGACCTGCGTGACCTGTACTGGCAAATCTTGTGCATGTTCCAACCATCCTTGCCAAACCTTTTCTCCAACAATTGTCCTGGTTGCGCCTGAATCAACGATCGCTCTACCAGGCAACAAGGAGGAAAAGTAGCACTCATCAACGGTGGCTGTCTCCTCCACCATCGAAACTTGTTCTTCTGGAACCTCCTTCACACCACTTGACTGCACACGAAACCTTTTGAATCTGGGGCCGTGACTGCTGGTTGAACCTGTCAGGGTTGACTTCACTTCATTGCTGCTTGCACTTGTGCTTGATGTAGGTCTCCTCAAACCTGACATGGGTCGTCTGTTGTCGAAGGTGCGTCTGAAACCACCTCCTTTTCCTTTTCCTTTTCCTTTGGAACTTTTGCTCTTTCCCTTCCCTTTTGAACTTCCTTTGCCATTTCCTTTTCCTTTGCTCTGGCTGCGACCATCTGCTTCTGGACCAATGGCCACAACGGGATAGAATCCTCGGGAAAGAGCTAACTCTCGCATCCTTCGACGACTGTCCAGGTAGGAAATATAGGCTTCTTCTGTGGCATCTGCTGCTTCTTCCAGATCTTCGTTCCATTCTTCTTCTTCATGCCACTCTTCATAATTCACTTCTTCTTCCCACCAGTCGCCTGGGTCTTCTTCACCATAGTAACCTTCGTCATCGACAACTTCATAATCATCTTCAAAGTATACCTCTGTTGTCGTTGCTGTCCTCTGAAGGTCCTTTGGATTCGGCTTGTGGTCACCGCCAAACATCTTCATCAAAGCTTTGTGAACCTTCTCATAATCCAAGTCACCACCACACAATGCTTTGACTTGAACATGTGTCCACTTTGGAACTCCAGCACGTGTCAACAAATGCCAGCCGCTGAGAAGGGCTGGTACTTCAACACCAACATCCCTCATGCGCTTCACCAATGTTCGATGCCTGACCAGGTATGAAGTCATATCTTCATTCTTCATCCTTTGGAACTCTGCAAAGAACTCTTCACAACGGGATGGCACTTCAACTTGTTGTTCGTACTGATACAAATTGCCCAAAATCTCATACACAAATGTAAACGGCTTTGGACTGCGTTCCAATGCTTCGAAAGAAATCTGTTCTGTTGAATCCCAAGCCAAATCTTGCAACCTTGAAATGAGTAACAATGCACCCTCAACTGCCGTATCAACACTGCGACGATGGCACTGTCTTTCGAACAACTCAACACGTCGTCGAAAACTTCTGTAGTTCTTCTGGTTCAAACCATCTGTCGAAGGGCAAGCTTTAGACAGTCCTGAGTCCAGTCCTTTGAAGCCTCCACCAGTGTCGGGTCTCCCACCGTTTGCTCGTTCTCGTGGTTCTTCTGGGAAATCTTGCTCACGAGGTGTTCTGGCGCGTTTGGTCCCTGCGTATCTCCTAGGCGAACTGCGGTCGGCCCCTCCGAAAGCTTGAGACATAGTATTGCCTCGCCGAACACGAACAGTGAGATGAGCACCTCAAAACCCTTTCTCAAGATCTTCAGGAACTCTTCAAACACAAAGATCACCGTCCGTATACTTTGGGAGGAGCGTCGCCAGCTCCGCTACCAATATCAACTTGGTTGTCCACAAGCCCACGAAGTCTCGTCCAAGTTCACACGAAATCGAATCACCTGTTTTCCATATGTCGTAGCACGGGGTGGCGTCAAGGGCCCTGTATTGAACCGAGATATGTCGGTCGGACGAAAATCGATCAAACACATGTATGCGATAGGCAGGAATTGACAGGAACCAAATGAATTGAATAAAGCAAAGGCTTCTTCAAGGAAGCTCCCAGACCCCGCATACCCGCCCGATAGCGGGGTTGGGGGGTTTGTCGTTATAATTGGGGGGGGCGAATTGTTAGAATGAAAGGGGGGGGTATCGTCGTTTCCTTCCATGGCGGGGGGGCGTTCTCCTTGACCAGGCCTTAAAGAAGGATGCTGTGCTACGAGGGCCTTAAAGAAGGATCCTGTGCTACGAGGGCTACGAGGGCATTAAAGAAGGATCCTGTGCTACGACGGCCTTGAAGAAGCATCCTGTGCTACGAGGGCTTTAAACCTCCTCGTCGAATCCTTCTTACAGGCCATAAAGAAGGATCCTGTGCTACGACGGCCTTGAAGAAGGACCCTGTGCTACGAGCGCCTTAAAGAAGGATCCTTTGGTACGACGGCCTTAAAGGAGGATCCTTTGCTACGAGGGCTACGAGGGCATTAAAGAAGGATCCTGTGCTACGAGCCCCCCCTTCCCCCTTTCTTATTCTTCGGGGGGGGGGGTAGCCCCTGGGGCTCGGAAAGCAATCATTTCAATAACAACACCCACCCCCAAATAGGGATAATCCCCCCTCGCCCGCCTATCGGGGCGGTCTGCATACCCGCTCGATAGCGGGGTTGGGGGGTTTGTCGTTATAATGGGGGGGGGGCGAATTGTTAGAATGAAAGGGGGGGTATCGTCGTTCCCTTCCATGGCGGGGGGGGCGTTCTCCTTGACCATGAGAAGAATGAACCCCCCCTTCCCCCCTTTCTCTTATTCCGGGGGGCGCGGGGGCCCCCCTGGGACAATCTTCTCAATAACAACCCCCCCCCCAAATTAGGTAATCCCCCCTCGCCCGCCTATCGGGGCGGTCTGAGACCCCGAGCCCTTCTATAGTCCTCACTCTTAAGGGCCACCCTCCCTCCGAAAAAGTAAACCGAGCTTGTTGTTTTCTGCAAGTTGGGCACCTAACAGCAAAATGGATGAACTAAAGTTTTAATGTCTTTTTGACTGTTTGATGCAGGGCTCTTTTGTGACCTGCTTCAGGCTTCTTTTTTGACCTGTTCAAGGTTCTTTTATGACCCGTGTTAGTGTTTTTAGAGTTCTCTTCGTCGCCTTCAGTTTTCTTTTTTGATTTTTTTATAGTAGGAGGTCCCTTCTTGGCCTTGAGGGCTCTTGTTTGACCTGTTTAGTGTTATTTGTTTCTTTGTTTCAACAGGTCCCTTCTTGGCCGTCAGTTTTTTGTCAAATTAGTGTCGAGATCATGGATGAACAAAATCCGACTCAATCAGAGTTTGATGTAAAACATCAATTTATGTTTCAAATCGAAGAAGTCTCGCTTGTCTGCCCAAGGCTCTCAGTGGGAGCATTGGTTCATCCTGTCGGCCAGGTGGTGGCACCACCGGTCAGTATGGGGCCTTGGAATCAAGTGTTGGCTAGGTGCCAAGTGTTGACTGGAACCAGTTCGGGTGGTTAAGTGTCATCTATGTTGTGCTTCTTGGGAGTAGAATCAGACATGGACTGCGACATGCCATGGCTCCATTTCTGAGGAAATCCGGCTCCGTCGATGCCCTTCCAGAAGGCCAGACTTTGACTTGGCTCACCATGGGTTCCACAGATGAAATGACCTATTGAAAGGTGGCGACCATTCGCAACCAATTTGTACGATGCCAACAGTTGTCCGACATGGAGTCATTAACGCTTCGTATCACTCTCAACTTTTATGCTGAAGATATCCCAAATCATATCATATATCATATACACTGTAAGTGTTCAGAAACTGATCGGATGGGCAGGGGCTGCATCGGCAGCCGATGATGGGACAGGAGATCATGATGAACTGTTGCTTTTCAATCAAGCTTTGAATAACTTTTCTTGGTCATAATATAGTCATATGCGAGAAGCATAATGCACTTCCAGAATTAGAACATATTAGAACGAGTAGGCAACTTTGTCTGGGGATTCGGGGGCCAGACAGCAAATGTGCGTAACACAAAGTCAGTGGCGCCTGCATGTCAGGACACTGGATACACAGACTTCAGCCTCGCACTGAGCTTGCCAAGTATGGAACCAGCCTATGTATGTTCTGTTGCAAGAATCCATCTGAGGACTTGAACTCTTTGCGGTCCTGCCGACCCCCAAATGAAGTCCATTCGGATTAAAAGCATCCAGCTACCTTGAGGTCCACTGAGGGCAGGTCCTGCGAAGGGGCCATTGACCCCCCCTCCCTTCAAGGTTGGCTTTCAACGGAAAGTTACTCTGGAACCAAATCGTAAGATGGACATGCTTTTGAGGCAGATGGGAGGCTTTGGGTCAGGAGGCTGGTGAGTTGCTTTCCAAGTTCTCGGTAAAGATTTGTTGAATTCGAGCAGCAGGTGAATTCAGCGAACTCATCGATGCAATGCAGGTTCCTCTCGCAGGAGGGCTCAAGCTTAGATTACCAAAGAAGCTCGATAGAACGGGGAGAGTTCATGCAACGCGACCGTGGTTCGTGCAGTACCAGACATGGCAAGGTCCTGTTCAGCAGAAACCGCTGGATTTGTTATGATTTGTTGAGATCACATACCGTGCAAACTAACATGGCACAGTCAGCTGAGAGCGGTGGTTTGGTGTGTGTTTTTTTTGCAGGCCATACGCTCAAGCCATCCACATTTCAGCGACTGTTTGGCGACGCTATGAGTTTGAGGACATCGGCACTTGAGTGTTCTACCTGATTTCGACCGTAGCCCAGTTTTGCTTGTCAGATGCTATCATCCCCCTTCAGCCCTTTAGATACACTTAACAAAACTGATTCAGCCCTCGTTACGCAGTCTGTCCTATCCAGCCGTAATTAGGATCCGTTGCAATGCTCCTTCTTTCCTGCAATGCGCCCAGAGAATCCAGGCTTAAGTCTTGCCAAGGAAAGCTTTGAGTAGATCCTAAACAAAGGAAGATAACATCATTGCTTGAGAGTTCTTGATTCGCTGTAGCACCTGATAAAATAATCTAATCATGGAAGGGCGTTCCACAAGCATAATATCTTTGCAACGACTGCATGCCCAGGTGCCGTTTCGAACACATCAGTTTTCAGAGTGGCCCTGTTTTACGACTCCTTTTTGGCGTGTGAACTACACTCCAATAGCACCGTCACCTTCCGGACTTCGAACTGCCACTCACCAACTTGGATTGCTCATCCCGAGAATTCAAGTGTGTGTGCGTGTGATCAACAACCATTTGGAGGCTCGAGCCGGACAGCTCCATTACAATGGCTTGCTGGAAGAGTATTCGAAAGGCAGTCTTTGGACGCCCTCGCGTTGCTTCACAGCTTGCCACAAAGGAAGGTCCGTCCAGACCAGGCCGGGTTTAGTGGCTCAATTGAGAGACAACAGTACAACCCTGAGCTGTGTCTAGTCTACTTTAAAATCAAAAGAAACAACGAGAGGCCAGCTTTAGTATTGCGATTTACGCTTTGGCCAAGCTGTGGAGCTTTGGATTGCTCTCCCAAGCATCATTAGTTACAACACCGTCATGCGTGGGGGAGCCTTGGAACAGCATTGAGAGCTGAAACGAAGTGCTTTAAAAGCTCACTGCGATCTCAAGCACTCAGTCCAGTCCCCTGTTTTCTTTATTGGGATCAGTGGCCGCTTTGAAGGGAGAGCTTTTTGAACATGAAAGGAAAGCTGCTGGACCCTAGCCTTGCGATGTTTGCAGCTGACTGGCAATCATCGCCCCGCTGCTGTTTTTGGTCAACAGGATTGGGAGGATTGGGATGACAATCAGAAATCGTATGACATTTGCATTCAACAATCTTCATACTGAAACTCGTCTTGAGAGAGAGAGAGAGAGGCATGCGCACAAGTTCTAATGAAAGTAGCCAACATAAGGTGCTTGCCGATCGAAAGTGTGCAGATCCCCCAACCCTTCAGTCACATATTTCAAAAGCATGGGCTGATCATGCATTACAGAAACCAACGGCCGCACACATGCTTGCTCAAGAGATGTTCTGATTTACATAAAGAACATCAGTCCCGCACTGGAAGAAAAAGTGCCCGCACAATCTTCATAGGGTAGAGGGCAGACAAGCAATTCTTTGTGCTGTGGAGCTTGCCAAGAGAACCGTGTGAGTTGTCACAGCTGAGGACATCGTGAATTTCAACACAGCCTTGTGAGTGGTAAAGTGGCGCCATGCTGTTGGCCTTCTGAACACCAATGAAGAGTGCAGCTGTGGCTTCTTGATAGAAAATGACAAAGGGATTAAAGTGTTGCATGCGCCAGGCGTTAACAAAGGTTTTGACAGTGAGGAATTGGGCTTATCACTGACTTTGCTGAGGTTTTTCGATGTAATCAGCCATAACAGCGCGGTTTACTCCCTACAGGGGGCTCTCTGGCAAAAAGCACTTGCTTCATTCAGCACCTGCCAGTCTCTTGTGCCAAGTCCTGTGACCTACGGAACCATCATGAAGGTCTTGGAGGACGGGGTGACGAATCTGATGGTGTCCTCTTTCTATCGGTTGATGGCCCCAAATTACTTGCAGCCTTTGCTGGAAACTCGGAGCCTGAAGTCCAATGATGTCATTTGGGGCAGCCTTTTTGCAGCTTGTGAGACACAGGCGCTCTGGGTGCAAGCGATATCTGCATAAGAAAAGTGTGATCGGTTCTTGGCCTTTAAAAGAGGGTCCGACTTTGGTGTCTCCAAAAATAGAAACACCACATGGTTGATGTATGTTGATGTCAATATAACCGAGCATACCATCCTCAAGTAGCTTTTGGGGTCACGTCACGCCCCAACCCCGTAAAGAGCTTCAAGACTAAGAAAGATTAAAGGGTAAGGCGAGGAGAGTGTGAAAGATTTGAGAAAATACGCAAACGCGATTGCAACCGCTTCACCTTTCTGTTTGCTTTCGTTTCTCCTGTTCATGAATTGTTGAAGTTGTTCCGTAGTCTTTCCCCGGAAATTCTGCCCATAGGGCCTGGCTAAGGCCAAAAGGATTTGGCAAGAGGAATTGGACAGGCATCAGGTTTAGAGATGAGAGGTTTAGAGACGAGACGAGACAAGGGATCTTTTCACGAGACGTGTCAACTGAGTATACTGAGTAGGCAGAGACATGAAGCGAGCGGGAATCAGAGCAACGAGGTAGTACACAGACTGAGCAGGGAGCCATACAGCCTCATAGAGACATAGAGAGACGGAAAGAATAGGCAAGGAGGATGAAGGAGGTGATGCGCTGGCACAAAGACAGAAATAAAGGTACGAAGGGAAGGTCCATTGGGTGGGCGAAACGTGGAGCCCGTTGAGATCCTCTCAACCAAGTTCGCACAGGTTCCGAACAGACACTATATATATATATAACTATAAGGCATTACAAGTCACTAAGCATTTTGACATGCCTGCTAACACAATATCCAGTATGCCAACTGCTGCACAAGCGTTTCGGTTGCAAATGGCTCTCTAGGGGATTTGTGCTATCCCAAACCTGATGATCCTTTTGACATCCTTGGCAAAGGATGTCATGATCATATTGCATAGAGCACGGTTCTTTTACGTTTTAGTGTCTTGGGAAAGTTCATATTGCTTCATGGAAATCGATGTTTGCACTTTGTGAAACGACTTGGCTAAACATTTGCAGGCGTCAGGCTGAATCCTGTGTGGCACTGTATGGCTTCGCAGTTGCTTGAGGCTGCCTTGTGGGAAGTGGCCATGCAGATAGCCCCGCTGCAAGTGGTATCATCAAGCAGTATCCCGGCGAAATCCCTGAACAGTTCGCCCGATGATGCCGAGTCGAATATCCATCCACACCCAAGTGAGTAGTACACACGGTACCTTGATTTGAAAGCTACATGTGTGACAGTGCTGCGTGTCTCCTGTTATTTTGCGGTCACAAACAAGACCTGGTTCCTGCAGCCAAACACATTTCGCTGCCAAGGCAGAATGGATCAGATACAAGTGATGCCCAACGAGATCAGCCACTTGACCCGCATGAGCTCCAAATGTCAGCACGAGGGGTGGCGGTCAAACCGAGGCCTCAGGGACCTGAGGGACAAGCCATCAAAACAAAAAGCCAACATGTTGCACGGCCAACTGGTTCCTAGTAGCGTCCTTGCTCCCTGTTGACAGGATACACCGGAGTTTGGGTGCTTGTGAAGATTCCGATGATAGAGATCGCCCTCATCAGCAAACGAGCAGCGATGCGTTGCTCCAGATGAGAACGTATGAGAAGTGTATAACTGTAGTGACTCGACATGAAGCTGTTTGTACGCACTGTGCAGCTGACAGATTTAGCAGCGTTGGATGGCAATTGCCAGGCTGCAAGTGAAAAAGCGTGACGGTCATGTTGTGCCTGTGTTGACAATGCTAAGAAAAAGCTGCCACCTCTAGCTATGGCGGGGTGGCTTCTCCATTCTCCTGGTAGGAGTCCGTGAGAGATTCAAATAGCGGCACTGGCACGAGACCATTATTTGCCAGGATGCCACCTCAGTTGCATCTGATGGCTACCGCCACATAGGCGACCGCCACCTAGGCAAAGAGCGGTGTGTTTGTTTTGAGGGGGTTCTGTGTTCGTTTGCCTTTTAGCGGAAACCTCGTGGGGAATGCGAGTGGTGAGAAATCCTTTGAGTGCACGACACCTCCACTTTTCGTTACACGATGCCTACTTTTCTGTACACCTTTGCTTGTAACAAAGGAGTTGTAGTCTAGAAGGTATTGCATTGATTTGATGCATTTAGTGGTATATTATATATAGTTGTATTGTATGATATCTGATGGCTTGCTTTCGGATGTCAACTCGAAAGAACAAGAGATTCAGCATGTATGATCATGGAATGAAGCTTAATTCAGCCGACCCAGCTGACCCATGCCAGGACTGCTGCAAGCAGTTGCCTCAGAAATACCTTGACAATGTCAGTATTGTCCCATCCAAAAGTGGCAATTCATGCCATGAAAGCAAAACCGCAAGACTGTTGCAAGCATTTGACTGGTTGGCAGAATCTGCATGGAAGATGCTGGTTCTGGGGGCATACCTCATGAAGCCTCCTTTGAACTACTAGTAGATTGAAAGAAGCCTCACCATTCTGAGCACAGGCAGACTCAGACAGACCATTTGGAACCTTCGTCGTTCTTCTTCAGGTCCGGAGCACGACTCCTCCGCGCATCCCAAAGGTGCCGGACTTCAACTTGTCCAAACTCGTATCTGACAAATGTGCGATTGACATGTACAACCGACATAGCCTTAGTGACTCAATGGTCAACTCTAAAGCACCTGTTGTTGAGTCTTCATCAATGACCTGCCTAATCAACAATTGAGACTACAGTTGTCGCTCTAGGAGAAGACGCAGTTCTTCTCAAGTTCTTGATGGGGTAGACCCTCGTGAACAGTCCAATTGAATTGCATGGCATCCGCTTCAACCTTCAGCCTCCACTCCTTTGTTTGAGGTTTCTTCTGCAGCTGCTCGCTTGTGCTCCATGGGGCAAGACACAGAGGACAGGTCATGCACAATCCTCCTTTGAATGACCTTAGCTGTGTCAGGGAGCCCATGGCTCAACAAAGATTTTGAGTTGCATATATTGACAACCTCGGTTTGTTCTGTCCTGAGATATGGCAAGATCATGTGCACTCTGTGCAGGAGCAGCCAGTGGAGGCCAGAGGGAAGAAGCAGACTGGTTCAGTTTTGAGCAGCCTTAAGTTTTATGGTGTTCAACGTGCATATCAGATGCTATTTGTGGTTTGATTGAGAGCAGCAAAAACAAAGACAACAGAAACAAACCACAACTACAACTGAGAACAAACTGCAAAACGCTTGCTCCAATGAGGCTGGTGCATTCTAGCATGTTGGTGCGTCTATGTGAAAGCTGATCTTACCGAAGACACTAAATTTTGGTGCCATCACAAATGAGCCTTTGGCACAGGACCGTAGCGATGGCCTCCAACATAATAGCGATGGTCCAACCTAAGAGCGATGGCCTCCCAGGACCTCAAGATACCTAAATGAATGTATTATATGAATATATATATATATAGAATAGAATACCTATGCAATCTGTCACGCAGTGATGATGTATTTTGACAAATAGAAACAGGGAGGAACCATGTGACGTACGGTCGAATCCACGTGCCATTTTGGCTCCAAGTAAGGGGCCCCCCCGCACTCTTTGTTTTTTCAAGCCATGGAGCTGGAAGATGAGTTGGCCCCCATGCCAGGGGGAAGCAGCGCGGGGGGGCCCATTGTGGTGACGGACGACGAGGGCACGCCAATGGAGGTCACACAGGTGGATGCCACCCAGGAGTTCGAGCAGGTGGGGAACATCCATGAGATGGCGGCCAGACTCAAAGAGCTCGAAAGTATGAGAGCCGAGGACGTTCGCAATGGGGAAGGCGACAGATCAGGATCCCCAACTGAGGTCATGGATGTCGACTCCAACAGCGACCATGAGCAGGTGAAGATGAGCCCATTGGAGGCCCTCAAGAAGTTGGTCGAAAACATGAAGGAGGCAAAGAAGGCAGAGACACCGGCTGCAAGTGACCCCATCGTGCGCGACGAGTACGAGATGGGTCGCTCCGAGATGCAGAAGCTGAAGTTCCACGTTCCAGGTGAGCTCAAGATGCCATGGGAAAGAGGCTTCACAGGTCTTGTGCTGGATCGAAAGTCGTCAGTTATGGAGACCAAATTCCTGGACGAGAAGACAAGAGCCCCGCATGCGATCCAGGTCGACGAGGAAGTGCAGCCCGAGATCAAGAAGGTCGAGGAGGCATGGAAAATGGTGCCGAGTTTCAAGCTCGATGGGAGTCAGCGGATGCCATGGTCCAAGGCCATGGAAACAGAGAGAGAGAGAGAAAGTGATGGAAGGGTGGAAGATCGTGATCGACGAGGCCAGGAAGTCGTGCAAAGCAGCGGGCATGCTCGATCAGTCCGGTGAGTCAGTACTCGAGGACATCTTCGCGAAGAAGAAGAACGGGACACTACAAGTGAGGCTGAGCGCCATGATGATCTACATCAGGTGGGCAAGAGCCAAAGGCCTTCCACCCTTCCCGGTCGTCGAGGCCCAAGTGTATCAGTATGTTGATCAACTTCGGAAAGACGGAGCGCCGGCTACTCGTGCAAATAGCTTCAGGAGTGCATTAGCTTTCTGCAAAGGGACCATACAGTTGGAGGGGGTAGACGAGATCCTGCAGAGCGGTCGCATCACTGGTTCAGCGCACAGAAGTTACCTCACGAAGAGGGTGCTGAGGCAGAGGGACGCATTGACGGTGTCCCAAGTGTCGCTGCTTGAAATAGTCCTGGCAGGAGAAGGCTTCCCCCTCCAAGATCGAGTGTTTGCTGGGCACTGCCTGCTATGTGTGTATGGCAGGTTGAGGTTCGGTGACAGCCAAGGCATTGACTCCGAGCCGACGGTCGATGGAGGGTACCTCGAGGGTGGCACGGCATTCACAAGACAGACGCACTGGTTGGCAGGGCAAGGAGAGTGCTCCCAGTGGTTGCACCATGCCAAGGTGTGACAGGTGTGCAGTGGGCGGAGGAGTTGCTCAAGCTGAGGAGCATGTCTGGTTTGAGAGCGCTGCCGGGACGCCCATTCCTACCAACACCAGTGCCTGGAGGTGGGTGGAGCCAGGCAAGGTTGTCGACGCCTGAGGCATCCATCTGGCTGTGTGAGATGTTGCAGAAGTATGCCATCTACCCCCAGAAGTTGGGGGATGTCGGGGCTCACTCCATGAAGGCGACGGCCCTGTCTTGGCTGGCAAAAGCCATGGCCCCAGAGAAGGTGCGAAGGCTGCTGGGATGCCATGTTAAGCCGAAGGACAAGAGTGTGGTGATCTACAGCAGGGACGCGTTGGCCGAGGGACTGGACATCCTGACGAATGTGATCACAGACATTTACACAGGCAAGTTCAAGCCGGACGCGCCCCGGAACCAACGGTGGGTAAAGTCACGGGTGCTCCCAAGTGAGGAGGATCACGAAGTAGAGCCAGATGGCGACGAAGCGTTGATCCCCGAAGGTCATTGGGACATGCTCGAGGTGAAGTCGCCAGGCAAGCCGATCCATAGGTTGGTGGAGCTGGCCGAGGTGACAAGTGAGAGCAGTGAAGAAGAGTCGGAGGACCGCGAGAGTGAAGATGAGAGAAACCTCGAGGCAGTTGTCACGGCCAAGCTCGGGCCACCAAAGAAAGCCACAGCAGAGCTGTACAGGCATGGTCTCACAGGTACTGTGCATAGTGGAAGTGTGATCCCGGGCAAGTTGGCGTGTGGCAGAGTGATTTCCGCCGTCATGGTGAAGTTGGACTATGAAGTCCACGCCTGGGGAAGTAAGTGTAAAGTGTGTGAAGGCTACACAAGGTGAAAGACGCGCCGCAGTGAGCAAAAAGTGGGTCAATGTGAGGCCGGGGGGGGATCGAAGATCGGATGTCGCAAGTGACCTTCGTAGACCGGCCAAGTGATGCATGGAGTATGCCGCAGGGAGTTGTTCCCAAGTGCATTTGGCCTGACACCGGGTAGTCCGGCCAGGTCAAGTGGAGCAGGGTGGTCCTGCAGAATGAAGTCAGGTGCCAAGGACTGCCGGAGCGAGCGACGCGCGACGGAAAGCAAGTGTGGCATAGGAATGTGTGAGGTAAGAGAGTCATGAGAACAGTTTGTCTAGTCTGGAGTTGTGAGGTGCAGCAAGTGAGTTGTGAGGTGATGCGAATGCCGGAGTGACGCAAGGCCCGAGCGTTAGTGGTGAACACCCGAGCAGAGCCATGGCGACGTTGACCGAATCCCAAGCGGTCTTCGAGGCGAAGCTCAAGGACATGGGGCTCGAGGGCTACAAAGATGAGATGACACGCAGAGGTTGGACGACTATGAGCACCTTTGCGTTTGCCAGCAGTTGGTCGCCTGGGTCAGGAGATGATCAGGCATTCATCCAGCAGGTGGCGCGGCCGCTGACTGGGGCAGGAGACCATGCAGACCTCCCGAAGTTGAGGAAGCTCTACCATGAGGCCTACACGATCGTGGCAGCTGAGCTCCGTAGCCGCCTGGAAGGGACCCAAGAAGCAGACGGGTCGAAGACCAGGAAGCTGCCACCGGTGGAGCGGAAGACACGTTGGGCTCAACTGAAGGCGATGTATGGGCACCTTCAACTGTCAGACCAGCTGGAGCCAGCGCATCATGTCGTCGACAAGTTCCACTCGATGCGAGTTGAAGGTGAGCTGAAGTACCTGGCTCCACACGAGATCCCCACAAGAGATCAGGAGTTGCAGAACGTGAAGACCGAGGAATTGATCAAGAAGGATGCATCCGGGCGCTTGAGGGCCCATGATGAGACCAAGTTGCCAGAGGCAGACACCCGCACAGACCTGAGGCTGAGGCAAGCCTACACGAGGCGGGGCCTGGCATTGGAGGTTGCTGATGTCATGAGCTTCACTGCCCATGAGCGCCTGATCGACAAGATGTTCCAGGAGTATCAGCGGGAGGCACCGATGGGGTACATGGCGGTGACGCTGGCGCAGGTGGCAGCAGCAGATCGCAGGGCATGGAAGCTGATGTCAGAAGAGCTCCAAGGAGACCTCGGCAGAGATGCCACAGGGAGGCGCTTGGCAGATGCCGCCATCGACCGGGTGATAGCAAACCCGGCGTTCATGACCTTGTTGCTGCCATTGCCGGGCAGTAAGAGCAGCACAGGGAAGGACGAGGCCCCACATGCGGCAGAGCCATCAGCGCCGGGGGCAGGAAAGAGGAAGCTGATGAAGGAGAACCTCAAGTTGAAAGAGAGGCTGCGCGAGGCGGAGACCAAGAAGACGAAGGCAGCGCCAGCCGATGCAGGGCCGAGCAAGGCAGTGGCACCAAAGAAAATGCCCATCAAGATGCCGAAAGAGCTTTGGGGGTTGTCCCCAATGAAGCAAGGAGAGCGCATCTGCTATGGCTACCAGCTGGGCAACTGCAACAGCGGCAAAGACGGAAAGTGCTCGAAGGGATTGCACACCTGCATTAAGTGTTGGAAGCAAGGCCATGGCGCCATGCAGTGCACCCAGTGACCTGCAAAAGCAGGTGAGAGGCCGGCAGTGGCGTGCGACGCGCCGGCGCGAGCACAGGAATCAGAGCCCATCAGGAGAGCTGAAGAGGGCTCCGCCCCATGTACAGAAACTTTTCAAGAACCCGGGAGCAATCCCGGCAGGCTGAGTGAAAACGCAACGGGCGTTGTGCCCCGCACGTTTGAGTTGTTTGCCGGGTCGTGCAAGTTAAGTAAGTGTTTGAAAGCTCATGGTTTTGCAGCCGTAGGCGTAGACCATAAGAAATGCAAGAATAGAGTTGGACCGTGTATAGTTTTAGACTTGTCACGTAGCACTAGTGCAGACTTTATTGAGGCTAAGGTGAATGAAGGAGATGTTTTCTTCATACCTATGGCACCGCCGTGTGGTACGGCGTCACGTGCGAGAGACAAACCAATACCCGCCTGGCTCCGACGGCAAGGAGTGCCATCACCACCACCCCTGAGGAGCGCGCAGTACCCCAGTGGGCTTCCTGACCTACACGGAACGGACCTGACCAGGGTGGAGTTGGCAAACGCATGCTATGCCACAGCCGCGCGAGTCTTCAAGTATGGTCACTCGAAGGGAGTTTACGTGTCCATCGAGAACCCCACCAATAGTTACATGTGGATGGTCCCATGCATTGCGGAGTTGTTCCAGCTTGCAGGTGTGTACTTTACCACATTCCAAGTGTGTATGCACGGAGGGGAGAGAGACAAGAAGACCTCACTCCTCCACAATTGCGAGCAACTGTGTCAGTTGGGCGTGATGTGCGACAAACATCACACGCGCAAAGGGTGGTCAGTCAGCAAGACACTTAACGGAAAGTGGCAGTACGACACAGCTAGTGAAGCAGAATACCCGTTGTTGTTATGCCAACGCATTGCAGCCATCATCAGTAGGAGGGCATGTGAACGACAACTACCGGTCCACCCTGAGCCTCGGTCCACCCCGCTTGCCCACCAGGCATCCACCACCTGGAGGGTGGCAGCCGGCAAGCAGCCTAAGGGGCGACGTGCCCAGCCAATGTTGCCGGAGGATGGACAAGTGGTGGACATCATCGTGGACAAACCCCGTGATGTAGCCAAAGTTTTGGCCTGGAGTGGCCGATCCAAAACCACAGTCGCCCTCGCCGACCTAGTTTTCCCAGAAGGCACCAGAATTGTTCGCCATTTACCGTCCAATGAGGGGGAAGACCACGGGGACGGGGCAAGCAGGTCAGTAATTTTCGGCATTCCCATGACACCTATGGAGGCAGTCCGGAGAGCCCAGCAGTTGCAACACCCGTTTGACACAGCATTTCAGACGCCAGACCACGTCGTCGACAGCATGTTTCAAGTGTTGACCAAAGGCACCCAAGAAATACATGAAGAGAGAGTTCGTAGGTTGAGGTGGTTGAAGCAGAGAGTGCAAGAACTTGAAACACAAGAGCAAGAGCTACACGCCAACATGGAGACTAAAGTTGCTGAAGTTTTGGCACCCAAGAAACTGCTTGTGCTAGCCGAGCTCATCCAGACAGTCGGTTATGGGGATACCCACCTGGTAGAGGACATGTGTCACGGCATGAGGATCACAGGTGAAGGCAGAGTCACAGGCTGTTTTGCACCTGAATGCAAGCCACCAATGCTCGACAGGGAAGACCTGTGGCGAGCAGCAAAGTCGGCCCAGCAGGAGGTGTCCTCCAGAGTCCCGAGACATATGCAGGGCAGACAGGCGAGTGTTGCTGGGGGCCATGTCAGTGTTGCGCATGAGGTGTGGGAGGCGACCCTGAAGGAGGCGGAGAGGGGATGGTTGTCAGGACCCTTCACTGCAGGCCAAGTGACCGAAGAAGTTGGGCCATTGTGGACGCCGAGTAGAAGGTTCGGCATAGTTCAGGGAGCAAAGGTGAGGAACATAGACGACCTCAGCGAATTCGCGGTCAATCAGTGCTATGGCCCAGGTGAGAAGTTGGACCTTGGTGGGGTCGACGAGGTAGTCTCGTTGGCGGCTGCATGGATGAGGACCTTTGGGGGTGCGAGTGACCAAGTCAGGGCCGAGTTGTCCACGGGACTGGTGCTGGAGGGGCGGAAAGGGGAGGAGTTCAGAGGCAAGGAGTTGCAACTGAGTGGTAGGTGCCTTGACCTCAAGGCTGCATACAAGCAACTGCCCCTGTCCCCGACCGACCGGAATTGTGCGGTCATCGCAGTCCTAGAGCCCCAGAGCAATGAAGTGAAGTACTTTATTTCCTATGTTCTCCCGTTTGGAGCGACGGGGTCCGTGATGGCTTTCAATCGGGCGGCCAGGGCACTGAGAGAGGTGCTACAGAGGTTCTTTTTGATCCCAGTGATCAACTACTTCGACGACTTCCCGCATGTTGACCTAGGGCAGATGGTAGTGAAGACTCAGGTGGTCATGGAAGAGGCCATGCGCACTTTGGGCTGGGGCATTGCAGAGGAAGCCAAGAAGAGGATCCCACCGGCTAGGAAGTTTGTAGTCTTGGGTGTGGTGGTAGACTTGAGTCAGTCCAATGACGGAGTGGTGCTAGTACGTAACAAAGAGGATAGAGTGCAAGAACTGGAAGCCACAATAGAAGAGATGGAAGCAGTCCAGTCCTTCCCGGCCGCCACGGCAGCTAAGGTGTATGGCAGGTTGAACTTTGCTGAGGCACAGTGCAGTGGGAGATGGTTGGCACCCCTCCTGGGCCCCGTGAAGCAGAGGGCACTGATGAGTAGAAGTGTTAAAGGGGTGACAAGTGAGATTCGCAAAGCACTCAGGTTGTCGGCCGATCTGTTGAGGACTGCTCCCCCGAGACGACTGGAGGCGGTGAACAATGAGATGCCGTGCCTGATCTTCACGGATGGTACGTATGAAGGGGGCACTGCCTCTTGCGGGGCAGTGGTCCTGTCTCCGCGAACAGAATTACCACTGGCCTTCGGGCTCAACATTCCCCCAAAGATCGTTGATGAATGGCAAGGGTTTGGTCACGAGCATGTGATTGCTCAAGCCGAAATGTTGCCCATAGTGATTATCAAGAGGCATTTCCCTCAACTCCTCAGAGGTGCGAGAGTGTTGTACTTCATTGACAACGAGGGTGTCAAGGAGGCATTAGTGGCTGGTGTAACCAAGTCTGATGAGGCTTGTAGAAAGATGTTGATCGAGGCAATGCTGCAGGACGCTAGCAACAACAGCCTAAACTGGTACACCAGGGTGCCATCCCCAAGTAACATCGCCGATGCACCCTCGAGGCTTCGATGGGAACTGCTAGATTCAATGCTCGACTATGTCAAGGTGGAGGTTGACCTGGACTACGAGAGATGGGGGCAAATTCGGGTAGTCTGACAT